GAGCATTATTTCACCTTGGGCCAACGGGTAAGAGCAACACCTGTACTGGGAACTCAGGTTTCTGTTTGCTGGTATCAGCACATTAAAACAACTTTATTCTCCAAATATTTTATCTTGGTTTTCCTGAGCCCATTTTATTCCTTCCCTATGGGAAGGGCCTCCAAGCCCAGTCACAGCCCTCTCCAGTTGCCAGGTGGTGGTCAGGACAGCCCACACAGCATCCCTGTGCCATGGTGGGGGTTCAAAGCAGCTCACTGCCGCTTCCCACTGCCACACCGGTGCTTTGCCCTGCTCACAGAGGCAGAAAGGAGGGATTTAGATGAGAAACCTCACAGATCTGTGCCAAATCCTCCTCCTCATCTCCCAAAATCCCAGCGTGAGCAAACTGGCAAGGGTTTGGGTTGATGAGATCAGTGGTGTCTGCTGCAAGGTGATGCAGTTGAGGGCTCTTGGTAGCAGGGAAGCCCTCCCTGCCTGCCTGGCCCTCCAGACACTGGGAATGACTGGGAATTGCCACCCCTCAATTCTCTCTGCAGGTTATTCCTGTGGAGATGGGACCTGCCATCACAGGTGGGGTGGCTGCAATCCCACATGGAGTCAACAACACAGCACCGGCCTGACCAACAGAGACAAACTAGCAGTGCCAGCAGCTTATTTACATCTAGATAAATACACGTACACATTTGTGACTTCAGGAAGGACCCCTGTGAGACCTGAGCAGGTTGCAAGCAGGTTTTAGAGACACACCCTTGCACAGCAAAGCAAAAGCCAGGAGACACATGCTGTTTCTTTCAACAGAGGCTCAGTGTAGCAAAGAGCAGCTTACCTGCAAGTGCTTTCTGCCACCCTCTTAACAGGATGAGATTTCCTTCATTTCCAGAAGCATCTCAAATTCCACAGGTAAATCCAAATCTTGCCTGGAAAAGTTAGACCCCCTCATGCCATCTCCAGGCCTTCTTCTCCCACAGACATAAAAGACCTCTATCAGTTTAACTCCATTGATGTATATCAACACCACAGTCTTTGACTACCCAAAATGGTAGCAAGTGGTTAAAAAATAAAAATCTACATTAAAAAAAAAAAGTCAGAAAAAAATCTCCCCTTCCAAAACACCCCCCTACAGAACCCTCCTAACTTTAAAATGACTCATAAGGTGAGGCCTTGGTGCTCTTTATATTTACTCCAAACAAGTGCATCCATTCCTTTTTCACTTTGATTGCCCTGCCAGAAGGCGTTTCCTCAATGAGACCTTAATTAGAAGTAGCCTGTGGAAGCAGTGTATGGGATCCACCTGGGACACATTGAAATGAATGTCCTCCCCCTCTTGCTGCACTTCAATGTAGCCTTGATATTCTCTTCAAAAATCTTCTTTTACTGTTTGCTATTGTTCTCTGGCTGAGTAATTTAAAAGTCTAGCTACATGTCTTTATTTCTGCTCCAAGTGATAAAAGCTATGGAAATCTCTTCCCTACAGAGCTGGGATTCAGCGGAGCAGAGGGATGGAGGGTTAGCTCCCGTATCTTCCTCTGTAGCTCAGATATGTATTTTGAAGGCGCCCACTTCATTCCCTAAGTACCTATACTATATATTTAACAGTAAAATAAGCTAAAGCAACCTCACCCACCTCTGTCCTGCCTGGGGAAGAGGCAGGGTGCGAGCGGAGCCGGCTCCCGCAGCCAGGAGCAGGCACACGGTGTAGTAACAACGCGGCCCCATCCCTCCACGTGCCAAAGGTTTGAGTATCCGTTACGGCTTCTGTGAGCTTATTTTAAGACAATAATAAAGCAAGCAATGTGCACGCATGTGTGTTTAATATAAATGATAATCTGCAGGAGCACCAGTTCCTCGGTTCTTGGGGAGATGGTGCTGGCACTGGGCTGTTGGGAAATTCGCAGCAATGGAATTTTTTAAGTTTGGGTTTATGCTTTCCCCCCCCCTCTCCCCCCCTTAAGTTATATGAAAGTTTTCTATTAATCATGAAGATTTATTGATTGTTCTAGGGCTCTGGGATAATTAAATATACAAAGGCTTGGCAGTCGTAGTAGAGAATATTCTTTTAGAAATGCTAACAATATGTTAGATCCAAGGAATTCCACTCCTAGTATTCCACGGGGTCATAAATAAGTTCAGTGCAGGGGATATAAATATACATGACACCATTTAAAAATCAGGTAGATGACTGGACTATAGCTATTGAGTTTATGTCTCACTTTTCCCTCGTTACTATGGTTAGGAACCCCTCCCCCTCACTTCCATTACGCTCACTGTTTTACAGCTGAATAAAATCATATATATGTGTCATTCATGGGTTTTTAGTCTTGTGAGGATTTTAGTGCTAGAATTAAATGGAAATACATCATTCTGCAAGCATCCCCAACTTTTATGGAAAATAAATTCTTGCCACCCCTCCCCTCCCAATGCTAACTGCCCGGCTATGAAACAGGGGGCTATCTGCCCTCCGAGTGAGATTTTATTGCTAAAATAAAGTAAAAATTGTTTTAAAACAAAGAACACACATCTTTATAGTAAAACTCAAGTTTGTTTTACAATTAGAGAAAAGTCACATGGTCCCCCAAAAAACCCCAAGTTTTTTATATATATATTTTGAAAATATATTTAAAAACATAAAAAACTCTATAGTTAAACATATATTATGTTAATCAGTACACTTAAATATAGCTTAATTATATTTACAATATGACGCAGTTGCTTTTAAATTTTAATGCCAATTTCAGTTTTTCCCAAAAAACATAAAATTATATAAATATACAATAAATATTTATGTTACACAAGGTGAATAATAGAGAACAAGGCCACAGACATTAACTTACAGTTGCAAGAGTCTTTACTTGAACACAGCACTAGGCCTGCTGACATGCATGATATACCTTTGTCACAAACAGACCACAGCAAGAGTTTAATTAAGTGACATGAAAGAAAACCAACCCCCCCCACCCCAATCTCTGATTTAATTAAACTGCCAAGCCTGTGATCGTGGATGTACAGGGTCAGGCAAGCGGGAGCCATGGGACTGCAGTTTAATTGCCAGTTTCATGTTCTAGATGTTGAAAGCAGGAATTGGTACAGAATTGGCGTATTATAGGGAGCATCACTCCAGATGTAGCTACAGGACATGGTTCTTCTGTAGGTTCTCAGCTGCATCCCTTAGTCCCCCACCCGCACGGGCTGCCCTTTTCCCACTGTTTTCATTCTGCCACACCGGTACCAGCCTCACCTATTCCAGGTGAGGATTGCTAAGTTAAGGCTACAGCCATAATTAACTTTGGGAAATGAGGAACTCAATTTCTAGCATGATTTATGCATTAACACTTCTCTTTTGGAAATTCAATTTATTTGAGTTGGGAATTATTTTATTCCTGTATCTGAATTAGATTACTGTCATGTCCTAGCTATCATTTCTTTTTCCAGTCTAGATGAGTGATCTGTTTGTTATTCACTCATTAGCATCAACTTTTCCCTTTCCTAAGCAACCAACTCTGGTTTTGAGGGGAGCAACCATTACACCAGCTCTCTGCTGTAGTTTAGGAACATTGCTGAGAACAGCTCCTGAGCTATTAAATGCAAAGAATTATAATACACATACAGGTACTGGCCACAGTGGAATGAAATTCTCCATTATATCAACATTGAATTTGCATGAAGAACACTTCAGTTGAAGTTGAGACATTTCAGTAAGTTTTTGGGGGGTGTTTTTATTTTTTTTATTTTTTCATTTCTGATTTCTATGTGGGAACCTGAATATCTGCAATGGATGGTGAAGGCTGAAGTTTGAAGCCCAGTGGGTCACACAACCCTCTCTTTCCACTCATGGTCCAGCATGCACGTGGCCAACACAAAAGGTTTTCCTGGTACAGGGGTAGCACGGGGCTAAATAAGTCTATCAGAACCTAAACAACATAAAGCCAACTCCTCCAGCACTTGCTCTTCATGTACTTCTCCAGAGTATTTTTTTATACTGATATTTGTTTTGTAAAACAAGGCTGACAGCAGAGGTAGAGCCACATTCAGTGCCAATGATGATTTGGACAGCCTCAGTCAACCCAGAACATTGGTATTTGTCCCTGAATTGACCGAGCTACCCAGTCCCATGACCAACCTGATTTCAGATCCACTATCATCTTTCTCAACCCTTTTTCTAGTGACATTCTTGTGCTTCACCAAGACACTTGATCCAAGCACAGTCTTTTATTACATGAAAAATCACTGCTCTCAACACTCCATAGAATATTTTCTATATGACAAGCTCCAGTTGTATGGTAAGTGAAACACTATAAAGATCACAACCAACATCCTTCCAGAGGGAGGAAAGGGGGAAAAAAAAAAACCCAAACACAAACAAACATGGAATAAGCAAATGCAGGTCTCCAAAGACAGCAAATAAAAAAATAAAAATAAAATTAAAAAATAACCCAAAGAAGCATGTTGCCATACAGTTAACTAAGTGCTGTCTTTAAGCCTGAAGTTCAACAATGTGAAGTGGAACATCACCATTTTTTTCAGTTGCCTCTTTTTTTTTTTTTATTATTTTTTTGTCAGTAGTTGGATTGCTATTGCAAACACCTTCACAACATACAAAAAAACCCAAATTTGTTTTTAATTCAGAATAAGGTAATGATTTTTTTTTCTTTTTCAATCTGATGGGAGTTCAAAAGTAAAAGAGAAACAGTAAAACTATGACAACAGCACCTTGACATTGTTTTAATTCCAACGCTATCAGAAGTTAAAAGCAGTAAACAGATATAATACTAACAGGAATAAAGATACTTACTGTCTAAAATGTAAACGGAATGTTTTGGTTCAATTTATTTTTCTGAAAGAGGACAGTTTATCATCAATTCACAATTGAAGCAGCATGCAATTTTATTCTTTTTTTTTTTTTTTAAACTTTTTAAATTTTCAATTCTTGGCAACGGCGACAAACCACAATGTTATTGAGGAATGTAATGCAGACTTTTTTGTTTGCCTTTTTTAAAATTTTTTTTTGTTGGTTTTTTTTTGTTTTGTTTTTTTTAAACTTGTGCGCAAATGACTTTTGTTCCCCTTCAGGTCATGGATATGTTCAATAAATAGATTGTGGAACCACTGTACTGTATAAACTTCAGTTATACATGCAGTCCATAAAATTATTTTTTTTTTCTTTTACTGAATAATTTACCCTGTTATGTATATATACAAATAGATAATTTTGTCTCAATATAATCTATACAACACGAATCCACTATCTTCCCCTTTTAATGGTTAATGTACATACACAGGAAGTGTCTATCCTTATAAAGCGCCAGCCAACTCTCTTTTTATTATCCATGGTGAGAGCTCTCACGTAAGACTGGGTAGTTCGGCACTGGGAGTTCCAGTGCCTCTTGTCTATGCCCCTGCAGCCCTCCTTCGTGTACCCCTTGGGGTTGCATTTGGTCTCGTAGAAGTATTGCTTCAGTTGGCCTTTGGGTACTGGGACTTTCTCCAGGACGGTGACAGTTGCCCCAGACATGTCCACTGCAGTCTTTTTCTCTGCCGCTGTCACCCACTCGCTGGTGCTGTCACACACGCTGAGTTCCCCGCGGCGAGCTGGGTCAGAGTGGCGCCGGACCCTCATGGACATGTTTGCAGCATCCAAGTAGTTTTTGTATTCCTCGAGCAGAAAGAGCAGTGGGGGTTCCAAAGGCACTTGACTGCTTAGCATGACTCGGGATGTGTACAAGTCTGCATCCTTGTTTTCCTCGCTGGGCTGGATGTCCTGGTCCTCATCCAGAAGCTCCTCTATGACATGTTCAAAAGTGTCTGCCAGCGATGTCAGTCCTCTTGAACCAGCACTGTGCCCATTTAGGCTCTCAAGAGTCCCGTGGGTCCGAAGACCTGGGTAAGCCAAGCTGCCTTGTCCTCTTACACTCACTTCTTTCATCGGGGCAGCTTTCATGCAACTGAAGTATGAGATAACCATAGTAAGGAAAAGGATGGTCATCACTCTTCTCACTTGGTGGAACTGTTAAGGACAAGAACAAGAAGAAAAAAAAAAGAAAGATTTAACTTACATAATAAAAATTCACCTGAGCTATCATGAGACATAATGCATTTTCTGCAGAGATCTGCAGCTGCAACTCATTACCGGTGACAAAGCACACTCCTGTACAAGGGTGTTCTTTGATTTCCAGTTTCAGATAAAGCATATGCCAAAGCTTAGGCAACATCAATACCGCCAAGTCAGTTCTTACGTGCCAAAGTCTTTCTGTAGCGAGTATTAGATTAGATACTACGCGGACTCCTTATTTATTGACTGATTACACCTATTTCAAGTAAGAGCAAAAGCAGAACTGCTATTTAGCAATGCATCATTTCAGCAGTAAAAGGCTGCTTCGCAAGCGTGAAAGGCAAGACTTCCATTTCAAGTGCAAACACAAATATTTGATTTTATTTTTTTTTTAAGATCTCTCTATGCCAAAAATATTTCATCTTTCTATCCACGAGAAACTGAACAGCACCAGCAGAAATTGCATTTGTGTTTTGAAAGCAAACTTCAAAACACAGGAAGAGGCTGTACAAATTCTGAGGTCTCAGCAGGTCAATTCCTCATCTAAAAGTAGAAGGTATGTATGCATAAATACAGAACAAGAAAATGGTCCAGGACACTCTGCTTGCTACCACACTAAATTTGAGCTGGAAAGACTGTGCTTGCATCATGTGAATGCCATGGACAGGACTCACAGGATGACAGAGCTGATAAAGAGCTGTTCTGAAGTGACAGCACCAGAACCACTGCACTGTACTTTCCCAAACCCACACTGTTCTCAAGTGGGCAAAGCACCTGTTTAAAAGCAGTTAAAGCCCAGAGCTCAGCATGACAGTCAGAAGCACAACCAGCCCTACTGTCATATTGAAACACAGCAGTTCGCCCATTTCTCTCACATTCTGCCCCAAGTTCTGGGGCATGTTATGGGCCATGCTTTGAGGCTTATACATACGCTTGGCTTAGTCACAGAATCATAGAATGGTTTGGGTTGGAAAGGACCTTAAAGCTCATCCACTTCCAACCCCCGGCCATGAGGGACACCTTCTACTAGACCAGGCTGCTCAAAGCCTCATCCAACATGGCCTTGAACACTTCCAGGGAGGAGCAGCCACAGCTTCTCTGGGCATCCTGGGCCAGTGTCTCACCAGCCTCACAGGAAAGAATTTCTTCCTAATACCTCATCTAAACCTGCCCTTTTCCAGTTTAAAGCCATCACCCCTTGTCACTCCCTGCCCTTGTCCAAAGTCCCTCCCCACCCTTCCTGTAGCCCCTTCAGGTACTGGAAGGCTGCTAGAAGGTCTCCCCAGAATCCTCTCTTCTCCAGGCTGAAGAGTCCTCATTGAGCACAGAGGGGGAGCACCAAAAGAATGCCAGTAATAAAACTCCTCACCAGCCTTGGAATCAGCACAACTCACTCATATCAGCACTGCCAACAGCCTGGGCTTGTATCAGTGCTACTTCCCAAGCAGTTTGCTAAGTCTCCATAGATTGTACGTTCCTCAGGGTAGGAATTGTTTCCTCCTGAAGTGTGGAGTACACACTTTAGGTACCATTA